CCCTGTTTTTGGAACGAGGTATTTTGTTCAGAACGAGGCTGGGTAAAATGGCCTCGTTTACTAAACGAGGTATTTTATCCAAGATAATTATTAGCGGTATTTGCTGTCGACAAATAGAGCCATACAAATAATGTTCGGACCATCATGTGACCAATTGCAGATCTACAAATTAGATTATTTATTTGGGACATGATATTGTTCATAGTTATGGCTTACTACACTGGAGTTCTATTATGTATAATAAACGCTTCCCGAGCGAAACAAAACATAACAATGTCACGTGACAATATTACATATGGCGGATACAAGCGTTCTTTGATTACATGCTGTTTGGTTTGATTATTAAATAATAGGGCAATCTGTATATATGGGAAAAGGAGAATGAATTTCCCCAAATCCAAAACTAGATGACTGAAATATTTATTGAATGGAAAGTAAATATTTTATAAACAAAAATATTCGGATTTGCAGTATCCTAGCTTGGATGGATTTGTGATTTGAATCTCGAACTCAGTGTTTTATACATTTTATTTTAAAATTGTAATAAATGTTTTACATGAATGAATAAAATCTACAATTTAAAACAGTACAATAACATTGTGATTTGACGCTCTACAAATCACTAAGAGTATAACAATTGCTTGTTGAAAAAGCGTTAATAATATGTTTTTTTCCATTTATTATTTTTTAAAAATATATTCAAAAAGAATGCGTCTTTTACAGATTTCAATATAACCACAAATGGTTGATTGTTTTAATGCTAAGATAAGTATTAATGGTTTGTATTTGAAAATCAAATTATATAAGCGAAAAATAGTAAGATACATTATGTATATCTTAAAACACTCCCTTCTCAGTTACTACTTCGGCGAATATCGTTTGATAATTTAGATGATCAGAATTAAACACCGTTTTGCTATGTTATTATTGTTTTATGATTGGGTGGGGGTATATTTAATTAGGGGATTGGATTGAAAGATTATAGCTACCATCTTATGGGGACATAATGTGTGGTGCATTTACGGTCTTATAAAGCTCTATTCTTACATAAAGAATTCTTGATTCGCACGGAAGTGTTTTAGCCGTGATCATTTTAAGTCATGCTTATGCCAAGATCTGGGTAAGTGTTAATTTAACTAGATATCAGAAAAGTACCACGTTTTCATAAATGTACTCTTTAGATAAATTGTACAATATTTATCAGTTCACTAGTTACAATAAAATCATGCATTATAGCTATTTTTATTTATTTATCCCTGGTGCTTCAAATTCAATTTAGGGTGCCTCAACATATTTAAAAATATGTTTTAAAGCTTTAGGTCATTTTATTATATCTTTCTACCATAAATAATAGCCCGAATTTAGGTATACCAAAAGTTAAAGAAATATAAACAGTTTTTGAGTCATTCAGATATGACTGCCAAAATTGTCACCAACACACATGTCGTGTTTAGGCTAAAATCTAACCAGAAAAGTATTGTCAATACATAATAAAATATATATTGCATTAATCAATTCCATTCCGCAATTGGTTTGTCTTAAACTCGTCATTTGTGTTCATGGGCATCAGGGTCGAGATGGCAACGTTATATGTTTTATTCGTCTAATTTACTATAAAACATCATTCGGTTTGCCTCACGGGTTAACGGCATATTAATAGCTTTATTCACTGAGATGGTTCCTTTACTTATAGTTTATTTTTCGAATTGCTTTTTGTATTTATTTAAATGGAAATATTAACAACATTCTATAAGTCAATCCACGAACATACCCAATTTCAATATTTGCGTGTTGACCTTTAACATCACACTTAGATCCTGTACGCTTTGTGTCTTACAGTCAATACATGTCATGAAGAACTCTTTAGACATAATTTCGTTTATAATACTTTACTCGTTTCTATTGAGTTGTTTAGCAGAAGTAACCCATGACAACAATATGTTGAGACGACTACGTAACAGAATAGGACGATTCAATGTTATTAAAATGACACAATGACAATTTTAATTTTATTACCAACCCTTTCACAATATTTGAATGAAATATCTCACACAGGGTGTTAATCTATTTTCAGTTTCTATTCCAATTCAATAAAACATTTAATACATGTCTTGGCTTGATTCATTATTTACAATTTAATACGTTAATCGTGTATTTTAAATAATACAGTTCAAGAGATCAAAACATTTCCGAATTTATACATTCAACATTACACGTAGACCTAAATGTATTTTTCAAATACGTGTATAAACATTTATATGAAATATATTATAAACAGATATGCTATGACCAGAGTTGCCATTATCTTTATTATTCGACTGGAAAACTCCTGTCATTCACTCTGTCGTTCGACTGATCCATCATTCACGTTGTCATTTCCGAGTCTGAAATTTGGGGTATAGGGGTAGCTCGGACCGGGGAGTAACATAGGCCAGGTGGCGTTAGTCTACCACTTCCGGTTTCGGAGTTATGACCCCCGAGCGAAGCCGGGCATTCTTCTAGTATATAAATAAATATATAAATAAATCATCTTCATGGTCATCATCATCGTCATCGTCATCATCACTATTTAACACCAATCATCGTCGCCTGACAATTACCTTATCTATTCAAAGCGCTTGTTTAGTTTTAAATACTTGTGAACTTTACTAAAACTCACTTTGTTGAACGGGTTACTTTCGTTGGTATCGCCATATAGGAACGCTTTTGTATTTATGGATTTAAATGGGAGGGTATTTAATGTTGAGATACGCTGAGACGAATAATTTGGGCAGTGCAGAAAATAATGGTCGCTGTCTTCTTGAGTATGACCACAACTGCATGTCGGGTTATGTGAAATATGCATTAAAAATCTATGGAAGTTTAGAGCACTTTTACAATTACGAAGTCTGGAATGTATAATCTGAAATTTACGTTCTCCATAGTAACATCTTACTGACATCAATAAATACAAAAATATGACTAAGTCGAAAGTCAACAAGACGGTATACAAGCCAAAATGCAAGTCGAAAATAAGAAATTAGGAAAAAAAACGAGGGGCGCTATTATCGCAGTGTATTATTTCTTGATTTCCTATTTTCGAGTCGATTTTGGCTTGTATAGCGTTGCTGTCGCCTCACATTTTGTCGTAACTGCTACTTTTCGACTTTCGTGTTTTGGAGGGCGAAAAGTAGAAATTAAGAATGGTAGGCTTCTATAGTTAGGCGTTTGTATATATGACTGTATACTTGACACATGTACGACCTGAATGGCTGAATGGCCGGTAACCAAATATGTTATTGTGAGTGTTAAACGACATCGTAATTATTTTATATTTTGCAAAAAAAACAAACAACAAAAAACAAAACAAAAAAACACAAGCCGTGATTGCCATTACTACAATACGGATTACTAAATATACTTTGTGTTCAATTTTATATTTTAATACTGAAGACAGGGCCGGACTATAAATGAACAAGGCGGATCCTTTTGGCTTATATTGAGTAATTATTGCAACGTGTTACAGTTGAAAGTTCCAAAGCATTTTCACATTCCATGTCCGATAAATTTAATCATCATGCAACTACTGATTGGTGGGTCGTCGAAACATTTAGATGCATACATCACAGCACCGTGGTTTAGACAACTTGCAATTGAACTAGTTTTATTGTTGTACACATAATGAAAGAAACTGTGTTATTTCACAGCTGAATTCTATGGTAAGAACCGTAGAACCACCTTGTAGGGAATAACTTTTAAACTTTAACACCCTATACACACTCTGCCAGCGGCATCTTTGACCCACACTCTCTTAACATTAATCCAAACTTTAAATCTTTCAACGGTTTAACAAGAAGGTGCTAAATATTTCCATTTAAATAAATACAAAAAGCAATTCGAAAAATAAACTATAAGTAAAGGAACCATCTCAGTGAATAAAGCTATTAATATGCCGTTAACCCGTGAGGCAAACCGAATGATGTTTTATAGTAAATTAGACGAATAAAACATATAACGTTGCCATCTCGACCCTGATCCCCATGAACACAAATGACGAGTTTAAGACAAACCAATGGCGGAATGGAATTGATTAATGGAATAAAATATTTATTATGTATGGACACTAAGTTTTATGGTTAGACTTTAGCCTAAAAAAACATGCGCGCTGATTACAATTTTGGCAGTCATATCTGAATGGCTCAAAAACTGGTTATATTTCTTTAACTTTTGGTATACTTAAATTCGGGCTATTATTTAATATATATATTGATCAACAGCGGCGATAAAAATCATTAGTCTCGACAATGACTAGTTGTAAGTGAAAGTCTCTCAGGGGAGCCAGGCGGCTCTGTGAATAAAGAGCTGGCTTGAACGCCTCGTGTTCATTAGCCTGAATAGTGAAGGAATGCGGGTCATTAAACCCCAATTTCATTTCATAAATCTCTCGGCTCAATAATGAGCTACTCGGGTTGGTTAGATGCACGCCTTAATGCATATACAACCAATAGAGAAATAGGTCAAATATGGCGACAATGATCAACTTGCTCTTCTTCTACTAAATTAAAGATTCGTATGGAGATTCTGTCGATATAATCATATATTTATATCTGCTCTTTCTTAAAATAGAGACGGTTAGTAAAATGGTCTTCTTTACGTTCCTAAATATCAGTATGACCTTAGTGAATACCGCACGATTACGATCCGTTCCAGACTGATAACTTTACGTTCCTTAATATCAGTCTGACCGTAGTGAATACCGTACGATTACGATCCGTTCCATACTGATACCTTAATTATAGGCTAATTATAGAGCCTTCAATTTCAAACACATTTTTATTATCATATGCTCTTATTCTTTTTCATCATTATGTGATTAACATTTCCTAAACTTTACGATTTTCAACTTTTTTTTTAAATAATAGTCCATCTCTGAGACAACAAAAACGTAAATAAATGGAAGATAAAAGCAAGAAAGACAACCCTAATAAAGGAGTCAGGACTAAGACTAGTAATTATTTCCCCTTATTTCATGATTGTCGAATGTAGTGCGAGTTATAAATAGACAATTTTTCCCTTAATTTTTTTTCTCCCCTCTTCCTGCATTTTTGGGTTGACTTTTTGGTCTAGAATTGGAGAAAAGGGATCAAATTTGCAATTTCATAGCAGTTTTGGGTAATACTGATGATATTACAGCGGAGGGATAGGGGGTGTAAAGTGTCTTTCTGCAGAGCAATCATTGTGTCGGAAGTGAGATTTTCACCCCTGTCAACTTCAAATCCGTGTAGCAAAAAATCTAAACGGTCAACCCCCTACAAAATTATGATGAGGAGATTGCCAAATGTTGTCCCCATTGTGCCTATAAAGATTGGAACCAACGGAATGTTGAGCAAAAAGCTACAGCCTGTGATGTTACAGTCATTTAACATTGAAGTCAATGGGCAAATAATTGCTAGTCTGACTCCTGATGATAAAGAAGCATGGCCGACTCGGGATGTTGATATTTTTTCAACGGCTTATTTCCTGAAGTTTTGAATGGAAAGTGTCAGAAATGGTAAGAATACTGCTTTTTATTGCCCAGCAGTAAGTTTTTTGACTATTTGGTATCAAAATAGCCATGATTGGGGGTATCCGTTGGTTGAGTGTGAATTTTGGGTTGTAAATGTGTAACATTTTGTTCACAATGATATCAAAACATGGTTAGGTCTAAATATTAAGGCCAACTCAACTCCAGATTTGGTCTAAAGTCACGAGATGTAAACAAGACTGACCCTAACCCTAACCCAAGACCCAGTCCTTACCCTAACCCTAACCCACAATCTTGTCAAAAAGCATGTAGCCTGACCCTAGCCCAAACCCACAATTGTGTCAAAAAATCATGTGCCCTAACCCTATTTACATGTTGTGACCTTGAACCAAGTCTGCAGTTGGCCTTAACATTTAGACCTAACATGTTTTTGACATCATACAATGAAATGTTAACATGTACACTCCAAAATTCACACCTATGTGACTTTTGACCAAACATGCAGTTGGCCTTAATATTTAGACCGAACCTCAAAACATGGCATCTACCTTTGAGATTGGCTTAGACTTATGTGACACTCAAGGTTTACTTTTTTACTGATTGTTAACTGGTTTCTTTTTGGAGGACCAGTGACGGGCTGTTCGCGAGAAATAAAGAGGTTTATTTCTATTTCCAGTTGAAACCATATTTTTTTCTTATTTTCTCACTGTTTTTTATTGCATATTTATCCCCAGCCTCCTATCATTTCAGGTGCCAGGGCAATGTTTCATAGAGTGGAATGATTGACCTCAACACAAGTATTAAAAAAAAAAGAAGCAAAACAGGTGAGATAAATGTGCATTTCATACACTTTAAGAAGTACATCCAACCTCATCCCCACTTCTGCTGACTAATAGTAATGGGCTGGAAATTTGGTACTGCACAGGCCTGTCTTCTCCCCTTGACATTTAACTGAATGACAGAATTCCACATTTTGACCATTTTCTGGATGTCAATGACCATTTCCCTGGATAGTATTCGCCCCAGAATTCTCATTCTCATCCAAATTTAACATTTCAAGTCTACATCTCAAAACCTGATCTCTTCCTCTACTGGCTTTAGGAGAACGATGATGCATATCAATTTCATCCCTGATCTCTATGACACCTGTGGTGGAAGAGGAGGGCAAATCGTAATCAGTTTGGGTTCCAGGCCCGAGGACCTCTGTAAACTTTGCTTTTTGGTGATGACTTAATTTCCGAGCTTGAAAAGGACGCTTGTGTTTTTATCATGGCCTCTCATATTGGAAGATAACATTAATGGCTTGTGTGTTGATCGACGGTTGTGCATATCTCTTGGTCAGGAAAGTTGTAGGCACCATCTCCATTGTAAATCATTTGACAGGCCCGTGTGAACGGGGCGACCTATGATTGGTCAGCAATGTATCAGATTCCATACCGGGGGGTGGGGATGAAAAAACTGTTGTAGTGTTACATAATCAGATTATTTCAACTTACTTATCCTGTGGAAATACAGCTATATGGGAGATATTTTTAAATTAATAGGCACTGCATGTTTCAACATTTTAGATTTGACCACAATCTGGCACTTGAAACTATGTTAACAGAGAAAAACTGTGTGGTTTTCGATGAAAGTGTTAAAAGTCTAATATTGCATCATGATTACTGTTTTAAAGTATTTTCGTGTTTGATTTATATTGAATTCATCTCATCTTTTTGAAGAATGCATTTATGTTCAAAAATAAAAATGTTCTGTGGAATTCAAAATTCATGTGCTTTTAAATTATCAGATTCCAAACTGGGGGATAGGGATGAAAAAGCTGTTGTAGTGTTACATAATCAGATTATTTCAACTTACTTATCCTATGGAAATACAGCTATATAGGAGATATTTTAAAATTGATAGGCACTGCATGTTTCAACATTTTAGATTTGACCACAATTTGGCACTTGAAACTACGTTAACAGAGAAAAACTGTGTGGTTTTCGATGAAAGTGTTAAAAAGTCTAATATTGCATCATGATTACTGTTTTAAAGTATTTTCGTGTTTGATTTATATTGAATTGTATTTAGAAAACGGAGGAAACCGAATGACCCAGCGAAAAAACTCAAGAGATTGGACAGGCGACTCTACTCCTTGAAATTGAAACCATGCCACTTAACACAATGACAGACCCTGTGATTTCATGCGCATGCATTACCTACTAGACCATTCCCCCCAGTCCCACCCCATATCGAATAAAAGTATGACTTATTTCAAATATGATATTTACATATAAAGAAAGTAGAGAGACTTCAATCTTACTAGAAAAATACTAGATTACCTGAAATGAAATGGGGTTTAAAGACAACGTCCTACTGGTCAGCTCCGACTGGTCTAATGCATTGTGCTAAGTGAAAATGTTTGTCTGGGCAGCGACACTATGGCCTACTCTCATACCGAATTCAAATTTAGTTAGTGTTAGTTGTATTTTACGTCCGCTTCCACCGAGGTGATATCGCAGACAATGACGTGTTATGTGTACAAGGTGCATTAATTTACAATGTGATTAGTGAGAAATATTAGGATGGTTAGGTTTTCATATATATGTACATAGGACAATAAACAACAGTAGGATAACATGTGCAAAGGACGAAACAGGTGCCAGTAGACATTTACAAACATGCGATTTGACGGAACAGACATGGACAAAGACGGACATTTTCACAGACATAGACATATTATGTACATATATATATATTTTGGGTCGATTGGGTTGGTCTGGTCGTTCTGTCCGGTAGAATGGCAGGGCGGTGCAACTCTACCTTGGGGCTTTGATGGTGAGTTTGAGTCCTGGTCCATTCTTCCTTCCATTTGGGTATGTTGTCCGGTATGGTAGCGTTTTTACATCTTTATTTATGTTATTCATTCCTTTTATTGTTGGTTCTCTGAAGGAAGAATCCAGCACCTGAAAACGAAAGCTAGAGAAAAGAGAGTATCTGATCTTACTGTGATTTTTTGGTTATGTGTACGCCAATGTGTACATTGGATCTCAGGGGAAACCACTCTGCAAAATCAAGATGAGCTTTCTCGGTCAACCCCAAGAGATAACCTGTGGCCTCCATGCTAGTGTGCCAGCACCTAATTTACTCAGTCACCATGGCCGTCTTCTAATTACTGTGACAGTGAAACCATGTGACAAACAAGGATTATTAAGATAGACTTTTACGGCTTGGTAGTTCCTTGGGATTAAAACTTTTGATACATATAGATACATTAGTTTCAATTTCATATCACACAGTTTGTATATATGGTAAGGTAGCTTTAATCGTAAATTACATATCATTTATTTATTTTTTCAGTTTCAATATTGGATGTATATGCAAATCACCCAGAAAAAGATCATGTAATAACAAAAGAAATTATAAAAGAAAAAAAGGAAGAAGAAATGGCTGGAAAAAATGATGATAGAGCAGCTTTTTCTTGGTGGGTAACTATTCAATTCTAATAGAAAAGATTGTTATGCTATTTTGAAATCTAAAATTCAGTTTAGTATAGTAAAACTGTACACGTCATGTATGAGCAGAGACAGAATCTTAGTTATATGTAGATATCACTGTCTCATCTGTGGCAAAGCAAACCAACACATGAAACAAAACAAATGTAATTAAAGTAACATTTTTTTAATTAATCAAAACTGTCTAGTCAATTTAAGCCAACTAATACATTGCCATTTTTTTTTCAGTTACCCACCTCGGAAGATCAAGTTAGAAAGGGCTATTGATATTGTGGAGACGTTTTCTCACAGATCTTGCTTATCAGACAAAGACTATGTAAGTACCATGCATATTTGCTTTTTAAATCAGGAACTGGGTCTATACACTTGGTGGGGGGGTTGGATGGACGTTAAACCCCATTTCTCTCTCTCTCTCCTAAATATTGAGATTTTTGTTTACTTTTAAACTGCATATATTCAAGGTATCAGGAGCTTTTTATGGCTCCCGTACAATTTTATAAACATGAAGGACTGTACCTTTTGAATATTAAACCATCAAATTATTTTATAATTTTGAAAATGAAATGAAATGGGGTTTAACATCCTACTGTTTTGCTCATAAATTGGGCTAATGAAGACGGGCATACGCCATACAGTGTGCTATGAAGGGAATTTTGCCCTGGCAGCGGCGCTACAGCCTACTCTTATATCGAATTCCAATTGCCAAGGAATCTTTTATGTGCACGCCAATGTGTACACGGGACCTCGGTTTTTCGTCCCATCCGAACGACTAGACAGCTGTCCTTGTCAGGTCCTCCGTCCTGTATCACTGACAAGGGGAAAACACGCAAAATGTAAGTAACATATATATTTGTATTTTTAATCAGGAAGTACTTCTATACACTTGCTTGGTAATCTAGTTATTCTTCTTGGGGCAATGCCTAGTACTCTGCTGTTTCAAGTACTTGGCATGCTTGATTTTTGCCAATCACATCCATTGATTTCCTTCAAGTTGCGATAGGCCCTACATGTATGTGTATTTTTACAGTAAATAGCAGTAAAATAATGATGGACAGTATTTTACTTTCAAATAGATTTCAGTAGATTTTAAAGGGTAATATCCAATTTGTTGTCAATGGAAATAAAATAAGAATGGGTCCAAAAATAATTAGACATTACGCAAAGTTGAAACCAAATAGAGACTCGGTCTCGATGTGGCAAAATAAATTGTTTATTTAAACGTTGTGAACCATTAAAAGTATTCTTATCTCCTACTTTTTATTTTCTAGGCTGGAACACCATTGAAAGAGTATTTGCTGTATGATAACAACAAGAAAACCCAAGCATCAATTTATTTTATACTTCTGGGAAAGAATGCATTTGACCCAATTTTTAAATATTTATTTTTTGTTATTAATGTTAAATTTTCTTCCAAAACACAATTAGATTTTAATTCTCTTCAGAAATGTATGTATAATATAGCAAGTAAAGTGGCATATAAATCACTTAGAATTTGGTCAGAAATCATAAAGTATTTAATAGGCATTACTAGAAACCAAATGTAGATCAAATACACCCAGAATTACAAAAAACCTTGACCTACATAAAGGTGACTTTCCCTTGCTTATGAAATGAAATACGGTTTAGTATCCTACTTTTCTGTGTTCTTAGAGTGATTCTGCCCTACATCCTACTCTTATATCAAATATTTCAACTGTCAAGGGTTCTTTAACGGGAACCCGGGGGGGGGGGGGGGCAATGATTAACACGCACACATTTGATCAGGAAGTCTGTCATTGAGTCAAATAATTCAATTGTCAAGGCTTCTTCTAAGTGAACGCAGTGGGGATGGTTTCGATTCCGGGAATGGGGGAGGGGGTGGTGGATGGCCGAATGGTAAGCATGTGCGTGCGGTATCATACGGCCTGTCATTGAGTCAACTGGCGTGGTTTCGAATCCCCGGTTGTACGTGACAAGGAGTAGGGTCGCCTGTCCAATCTTGTGGGTTTTCTACGGGACCTACTGTTTCCTCCCACTGCTAAAGACCCCTATGCGCAACGAATTATTGAAATAAAATTAAACCATATGTTAATCCCGAAATGACCTAGTTTGTGTCAAGTGGACGTTAAACCCCATTTCTCTCTCGCTCTCTTTCGATTCCGGGCTTGTACCCAATTATCCCTTGCCATATCCAAGACTACTGACAAGTGGGAACTATGCCGGAAAATCCAGTTGAAATTTCTCGGCCAACACCTTATACTCACTGAACCACTGTGGCTTATGACTTGTGATTGTATATAAATTTTTTGTACATATGATATTTTTTTATTTCAATCCTGTAATCTTGATGCTTTGCTTCTTTTATTTACAAAATATTCATTTTGTTTGGGTTTTTTTAATGAGGAAAAGGTTTTACATCATTTTATTACTCCTGCAAAATAGTGCATTTTTCTTTTGTTAGTTTTCTGTGTATATTAGTTATTTCTATATGTCTCACAAATCACTTGTAGTGTGATTTTGTAGCACTTTTCAGTTTTTGAAATTGTTTCAATTTAGTGCATAATTAATCTTAGTGCTTGGTTTGGATGTTATTAAATTTAGATATTATTTGAATTATATATTTTGGAGTATGGTGTAGGGATACTGTGTACATATCTTTATATTCTCAGTTCTTGTTTTGGGGTAAAGAACAATTTATATAGCTATTTTATATTTTGTGATAGGTAAAGTGTGTGGGGTTAAGAACAATTTAAATAGCTATGTTATATTTTGTGATGGGTAAAGTGGGGTGTGTGTGTGTGTGTGTGTGTGTGGGGGGGGGGGGGTCATTATATATAACACAATATAATTAGTATTAGAATTCTCTGTTTTTCTGTTAACATTTCAAATATCTATTTAGTTTTGATGTATTAATTTACCTTTTCCTATGATTTTATGAATAAATAATAATCTTACAAAAACAAAAACAAATTTTGTTTCCTTCTTTTATCAAACTTTACAGGTCTAACAGAGCAAAGAGATGGGTCCTGCATAAGGTCATGAGACGAAGAATCCTATTGATTTTCAGCGATTTCCGATATTTTTTGCCAGAGTTATGGTCCTTGATCACTTTGAAAAATCTTGTGGACGCTCTAGGGGCTGAAGTTAATATCCAATTGACTTTAAATTTATACACAAGGTTTAAGGTCTTGAGACGAACAAGTATATTGATTTTCAATGAATCTTTATGACTTGAACAGCTAAATCCATGATGTTAAAAGTTTCGTATACTAAACGTTAGCATGGGGCAGAACTTTATAAAAACCAAACAAATTCTAATGGTTTTCTGATAATTACTTAATGAGTTGTTACTTTTAATCAGATTTTAATATATTATAAATGTTTCATTACCGAAGAAAGTAACCAGCGGCTGCCAGGCAGGATACGCCAACATTTTCGAGAGATGGATAGAGAACAAGCTAAAAAGAAAGTGATTTTTCCTACAATCAAGGGCCATAATTCAGGAAATTACAATTCGATATGCGCAAATAGTGACAGGAACAGGGATCATTGGGTTATAAACTTACATTTTAAGTTTCAACAAAATCGGATAAAAATTGTGACCTCTATAGGGTCCACAACCTTGATATACCATATATTTACGCTATTTGAGAACGATGGGCGGCCATTTTGTCAGTCCGTTTTGTTCCGATTTTCACGAAATTCGACATCACCCATCCTTAGGGTGTAACGGTGATATACTAAAACGTTTTTTTTTAAATCGGATAAAAATTATGACCTATATAGGGTCCACAAGCTAAAATCGCGATTTTTCGTACAATCAGGGGCCATAATTCAGGAAGTTACATTCCGAAATGCGCGAATATCAAAAGTAACCGAGATCTATGGGTTATAAACTTACATTTCAAGTTTCATCAAAATAGGATTAAAATTGTGACCTCTATAGGGTCAACAACCTTGATATACCATATTTTTTAGGCTATTTGAGAACGCAGGGCGGCCATATTGTCTGTCAGTTGTGGACCGAGTTTCCCGAAATTCGAACTCAGCCGTCCTTAGGGTGTAACGGTGGTATGATAATACGTTTTTTTTTAAATCGAATAAAAATTATGACCTCTATAGGGTCCACAATTCAGGAAGTTACGGTGCGATATGCGCGAATATCGAAAGGAAGCACGATCCTTGGGTTATAAACTTACATTTCAAGTTTCAACAAAATCGGATAAAAATTGTGACCTCTATAGGGTCCACAACCTTGATATACCGTATTTTTACGCTATTTGAGAACGAACGGCGGCCATTTTATCCGTCAGTTTTGGACCGAGTTTCACGAAATTCGAACTCAGCCGTCCTTAGGGTTTAACGGTGATATAATAATACGTTCTTTTAAATCGGATAAAAATTATGACCTCTATAGGGTCCACAAGCCAAAAACGCGATTTTTCGTACAATCAGGGGCCATAATTCAGGAAGTTACGGTCCGATATGCGAGAATAATGAAAGGGGCGGAGATCTTTGCATTATAAAATTACATTTCAAGTTTCAACAAAATCGGATAAAATTTGTGACCTCTAGGTCCACAACCTTGATATACCATATTTTTACGCTATTTGAGAACGAACGGCGGCCAATTTGTCTGTCAGTTTTGTGCCGATTTTTACGAAATTCGAACTCAGCCGGCCTTTTGGTTTGATGGTGATATGATAATACGGTTTTTTAAATCGGATAAAAATTATGACCTCTATAGGGTCCACAAGCTAAAAACGCGATTTTTCGTACAATTAGGGGCCATAATTCAGGAAGTTACTTTACGATATGCGCGAATATCTAAATGAACCGAGATCTTTGGGTTATAAGCATACATTTCAAGTTTAAACCAAATCGGATAAAAAATGTGACCTCTACAGTGTTCACAAGCTAAAAGCGTGATTTTTCGTACAATCAGGGGCCATAATCCATGAAGTTACAGTCCGATACATGCCAATAACGAAAGGAACCGAGATCTTAGGGTGATAAACCTATATTTCAAGTTTTATTGAAATCGGATAAAAATTGTGACCTGTAGACTGTTCACAAACAATTGTAGACGGACGGACAGGGGCGACGACAATATACGTCCACATGAAAATGTGGGCGTATAAAAACACGCTATGTTTATTATTGCTAGAGTCTAAGTACAGTTTAAATCCCGATGCTCCGGTGTGTCTAATCGTTTGAAGGTCAAACCGTATTGATAAACAACAACCTGATACAAATATTCACGATTCAACAGGTTTGATTGGAGATTTAACTTGAAGACCAGCAAATACAAAATTAAAATTGTCCAGTCTGGAAGTGACCTAAGCTACCGAGCCCCTTAAGTGCATGATTCCCCTCTTATGTATCCATTTCATTTGAACGAAATAATAATTAATTCGTTTAAAATAAATAATTTATTCGTTTAAAATAAATAATGTATTCGTTTAAAATAAATAATTAATTCGTTTAAAATAAATAATTAATTCGTTTAAAATAAATAATTAATTCGTTTAAAATAAATAATTAATTCGTATAATCGATATAATTGATTTGTTAAACGAAATAATTCGTTTTAGCGAAATAATTTGTTTTAACGATATAATTAACTCGTTTTAACGAAATATTATATCGTTAATACAAAATATTATATCGTTAATACGAAATATTATATCGTTAAATGAAATAACTAATTCGTTAAATGAAATAACTAATTCGTTAAATTAAATAACTAATTCGTTATAGCCAAATAATTAATTCGTTATAACCAAATATCAATTCGTTATAACATAATATTCGAAATATTAATTCATTATAACGAATTAATAATTTGGTTATTTATTGTAGGAATAAGAGACTGAACACCACTCTTTCTGTTTCGCTATGATCATAATACCCAGGTACATTAATACCTACCACATCAAGATAACAATGCACACTTAAGTTTACATTGGTTTTATAGTATCATCCGTGTTTTTGTAATAGCATACCATACAGGTATATACAAGTTGAGCATATATCTTTCGGTGGTAAACATAGATGGTAGTAATGTAATCATGACAATAGCACATTGCATAGCGTTTCTCCATTTTCATTATCCAGATTAATGCAGCAAATTAGGATATTGAACCCAATTTCATAATCCAGCAACGGATTATTTAGTTTTGGATTGTGGGGAGCACAGTTTAGATTATTGAAATTCTAAATTAATATTTGCGTTTAAAATGTAAAAATAATCCTTACAAATTTTGAACATTGGAGATGAGACCAAACTTAGTGGTTCAAATAAGTATTTTAGATCTTTTTGAATTTGAAATCCAATTTTTAATTATATTGTTATAGTTACTTTAGTTTTTCTGTCATTTGTTTCAGACAAAAACGATTGTTAACTAAATTTTAAACGAACACGCCTGTTAATAATGTACCTGGCAAATTTGCTAGACGTGTATAAAAGTCAAGTAGAAAGTTACCTAAATAAGTTTAGAGAAGCAACAGATAGTGACGATGTAGAAGAGAATCCATACTTTCCAGATTTTGAAGTAAGTCCCGGGATGTCGGCAATGATTTCACTTATAATGGATAGTCACTTTATTTACAATGCTTCATGTTTGAAGGGATCTGTACGAGTGAAACACAAACAAGCCATGGCTGACTACATCAGTGAAAATAAGCAAATCCTGGGGGTTCTGTGTGGTATTGTCACGTTTCCAGCTCAGCCAAACCGTCCATTTATTGGCTTGTTGAAGGTGATGGCATTACGGCTGGTGTTGAACCTTACAGATAAATCGGAGAATTTGTGTGAAGGTGTATGTCAAATACCAGACTTTCTTGGCTATTTAAAAGGCATTTTGGATAATAATGAACCTGATGATGACGAAATGTCTCATGTAAGTGTGAAATACCATTATATTTGTTCTGTTGATATTGTTAGGGGTTCTCAACAGTGGGCACCACGTATTCGGGACATCATAAGATATTATAGGACATAGTCAACACGGGCCAGTGTCCCCGGAAATCCTTGATGCTTGTCTTTTTAATCGGATTAAATCCAAACCCCAAGATTATCTACTGTAGATATTTTGTGTTTATTTTCTTAATATCATGTTAATTAATCAATCTGATTAAATCAAGGCGGAAATCACGCCGTGAAAAATTAGAAATATTCGCTTGAAAGTTTAAAACATAATTTTCGTTAAAATAAATAAATAGGTAATTTTTAAATTGTCTAGATATGATGGTCAGTTGCATTAGGCACCCAATAGTGAAAAGGTTTTGAATAACAATTAATAATTTTAATGGACAGAACACTACGACGCACAAATTTAAGAACGTAGGAGATATGAAGACGAAACGAAATTTAGGTACCCATGGGAATAAGTGGAATCTTTGAAAAAAAAATAGAATCTTCGGATATTTATTGCTTTGCCTACCTTGTAAAACTGTCTGAGTAATTAATTTATATATACATATTTAGCTGATGCATGGGGCTATCTGCCACCATATTTCTCTGTGCTGCAAGTCAGTTAAAGGGGATCACGTGGCTAAGTGAGTAAGACGCTAGCTCGCTAGCCTGGAGATCGGGTGTTCGATCCCTGCATTGGCCGAGAAAGTTCATCCAGATTTTCCGGCGTGGTTCTCCCTTGTCAGTGATGCAGGGCGGAGGGGCTGACAAGGAAAGCTGTGTAGTCGTTTGGATGGGACGAAAAACCGAGGTCCCGTGTACACATTGGGCAGTTGGAATTCGATATAAGAGTAGGCCGTAGTGCCGCTGTCCTGGCAAAATTTCCGTCATAGCACACTGTATGGCGTATGCCCGTCTCCATTAGCCCAGGTTAGGAGCAGAACAGTAGGACGTTAAACTCCATTTTATTTCATTTCATTTCAAGTCAGTTAAAGATTAGAGATTAAAGCTCATAGCGGCATCGCATGTTTAGTATACTGTTTATTGGTTTTGTTGAAAATTTAGTATTTTATTTTTTCACCAGGAAGACAAGGACTGTTTATCTTATGGCATTGTGATTGTCCACAACCTTGCAATGAACGAAAACAACATAAATGTGTTACGTTATGAAGATTTTCAAACATCACTAACAAAATACATATCAGCGGAAGATGAATATATCACTCTGGCTGCTCTTCTTGGTTTAGCTGCTATTATGTCGGAGGATGAAAACACAAATATCCAGGCTTGTACTTCAACTATTACCAATTTAATGAAAGAACTTGAAGAAAGTCTGGACAGTGATATGCATAGATCAGCAAGCGGTTGGAAAAGCCTTGAATTGGGATCGGGTAAGCCTATTAAATTTTAACAGTAGAATATTACCATTAGTTTAAGAGAAATCATGTGCAATGTATCACAACGACATTGTATTTTTTTGTTTTATTAAATTCAGGAATTCTTAATCTAGCTAGATTTGACGGCAATAAAGCTCTATTTGTGGAAAAAAACTGTTTGCCTTACCTGTTGAAGATGGCCAATTCCCAGAATTCAAGTGAGCGGGAAAGTATGTTTTATTTGTGTTCTTTTCAAGTTATTTCCACGGTTCGATTCGAAAAGGTGTGTCCAGGTTGGGGTGGTGTGGGTTTAAGCCACTGTTTCAGTATGAACAAAGAAATTGAATGATATGACATGTCGTTACTCTCTGAACATTGTGATAGTCTGGGTTATTGTTTTGATCCCGGACCGTGACAATAGAGCCCCGATTGCCAGGAATAGCCCGTATACTGTCTGTTAATAAACCCGATTTATGTCGCATTCAAAGAAGCTAAACTTGTTCTCAAGGTAAAAAAAAAACTTACGGAAAGGCTGACTTATGTCCAGCTTAGACAAAGGTAATTAAAATTATCTGAAACCCGTCTTAATTTACTTTTTAGTTTAGCGTTTATCAGGTATTGACTAATATACAGTATACTACATTTATTTAGATGTTCGCATGCATCAAATTTTATATTTTGATACTGCTGCAAAATGGCATATGGCTTACAGTATGAATAAAAAGATAAATGTATATGTTGTATTATATATGTTCCCAACTTATTTCCTGGCTCGGATTGCAACACCACAATGATCCCATTCAAAAAGATATATATCTGTAATATGCATACAATGTATTTTATTCGCCAGTTGCCATATGTTGTTTATGGACACTTGCTTTTGACGATGATAACAAAAAGAAAATGGTTGATGAGCCCGGACTTATCCATTTTCTGGATGAAAAACGTCAATCATCCGACAGCGAAAACGGTGAAGACATTATTGGTCATAATACCCTATGGACTCTGCGATACGCTCTTCTAGAATCTGAGGACCACCAATCAATTGGTGAGTAAACAAAGATTATTAGTTAAATTCTGGCCTTTTTGTTATAATGAAATGAAATGCCTAATGTCCTACTGTTCTGCTCCGACTGAGCTAATGAAGACGGGCATACGCCATACAGTGTACTATGGGGGAATTGTTGCTCGAACAGCGGCGCCACGGCTTACGCTTATATCGAACTGCCAAGGGATCTTTAACGTGCATCACCAAACTCTGCCTCGTTTACATTAACAGTGCTTATAGTTCCCAAAAACATTTGGATCACACACTGACAGTCTATTAAAAATGGACAATAAATTAAGAACTAATGCAAATTCTGTTGGTTAAAGCTGATTTTAATACTGTGTGGCATTATTCATTAGGGTAAAAGAATTCTATCGCCATTTCAAAATTTTCAGAATGGTAAATCTCAAACGAGTTCGCTATTTGCGTCCGACATTTCTTTAGTTGTGGTGGACCTTTTTAACATCCGCGCTTTAACAAGGATTCTTTTACTCTCTCCATTAGGGAAAGAAATGATTGAGGGTGAAAATGATGATGATGATAGTGATGATGATGATGATGAGGATGAGGATGAAAAAGGTGATGGAGATACTGAAGAATTTAAAAACGATGTAAGTGAAGACCTAGAAAAACAACAAACGCAAGAACAACAAAATCTAACCGAAAAAGTGAAACATTCAAAACAACATATTGGTCACGTAATGATAAGCTACAATTGGGATAAGCAAGATTTAGCGTTGAAAATACGAGACCAACTCAAGTCTAACAATATAAAGGTATGGATGGATGTTGATGACATGGAAGGGTCAACACTTGAAGCAATGGCCAAAGCTGTTGAACAAGCTGAAATTGTGATCATGTGTATGTGCCGAAAATACAAAAACAGTGAAAATTGTAGAGCTGGTAAGTATACATTTAACAGCTCATATCATGGTATATAACATAAATAAGACAGCCCATATCATGTCATTTAACACAAATAAGACAGCTCATATCATGGTATTTAACTTACATACGGCATCTCATGCTTTAACCTTTTAACTTAATTTCGACAGCTGTTGTCATGTCATTTAACTTAATATGCGACAGATCTTATCTTGGCATTTAATTTACATCAGCTCTTGTTATGTATACGACAGCTCTTGTCGTGGCATTTAACATAGACGGCGATATTCTCAAAGAGGGTAATCTGGGTATGCAGAATAAACTTTAGAGAGACATGTGCTTGTACAACACAAATTCACCGTCTTAAATTCAATATCAGTTTTATTCATGTCTCCATGTTACGTTTAAATGCTTGGACGAGATGGGTAAATGACCCTATTAGACAAGAGAACTATATTCAACACAAACTAATGGGTATTCCCAAACTTACAAACAACATGGAGTAAGTTGAAATGTAATAATGTATCCTCCCAAAGCGCTCTGGCGAATCGGTATTGATCTGTTCGTTTGAATTAGTCCAAAATATCTCACCATTTCTCTTCCCTTTTTAACGACTACCTGATCGCGGACATCAGGGTTAGATGACAAGTTCCTGTTCTGTTACTCTTGACGCTTCTGAAATACACGCGGTGAAATTATTCCCCATACTGGGCGATATTAGTATGAATAGTGTTTTTTTTCCAGAGGCTGAATATGCCTTTACGAAAAAAAGAAGGATTATACCAATACTGATGGAAACTGACTACGAACCTGATGGATGGTTGGGTATCATTCGTGGATCAAAACTGTGGTATGATTTTAGTGATGACCAGTTGATGAATGCAAACATGGGCCGACTTTTAAAAGCGGTAAAACATTTCACTGATGCAAAATAGGTGTTCTTGTATTAATAACACAACGAATTTTTATAAAGATTAATTAAATCGAATTTTAAAACCTTTGTATATCATTTCAAAATTAAGTTTGTAGTATTTGTTTTATATGTACGGTTGTTGGGATTATATTTCTTTCTAGGTATAATATATTCAAGTTTTTTATTCATATAGCTGTAAGTCATAAACTTTTAGCTTTTAAACACAGTACAACAATGGTAACACATAACATAAAAACATAACATGACATTATATAGAAGTAACAGCTCAGTTAGTAAGTAATGATTTGCGAAGTTTGAAGGCTTCAAAAACATATTTAAATAATTTATCTTAAAGATTTCCATTATTTGTGGACATTAATTCATTAAATTTATAAACATTTGGGTGGAGTGAATAAAATTTAGGGATATATTTTGTTCTTAAGTGATTTAAAGATTTGCAACAAAGTGTAAGGTGAAAATCATCGTTTTCGTCCTCCTTCGATAATCAGTGTTTCGAAACTGATTGATACGGTTGGTCATCACACGTAGATCAATATGTGGTATGATTTTAGGGGGTGTTCCCACTTTGCCGGTGGGCTTTGATGTCGAATTTTGCCGGTAATCTAGAGTTAATCCTAGAACAATTGTGTTATAAACTATAGTCCATATATTTGTTAAGATTATGACAAATTGTGACATTGAATTGTTAGAAAGGAAGATAAGTGAAAAATAGGTCGATGATGTAATTAAAAGTTCTAAACGGGACAAGAGTTGTAGTGAAGATGAAATAATCAATGAATATTTTAAGGAATTTTGTCCATATTTTGTTCGGTTGCTATGTGACCTATTCAACTAAGTTTATTCTAGTGGTGATTTTCCTATTTCATGAGCTACTGGTAATATAATTCCAATTTTTAAGAAAGGCGATCCGCATGTTACTGGCAACTATCGTTGTATTACCCTGATCAGTCATTTGGGTAAACTTTTCACACCAGTCCTCAACCATCGGGTATGCAAGTTGAATCAGGTTGTGAAAATCTTATCAGTCATTTTTTTTGGATTTAAATCAGGACTTGGAACTGTTGATGCAATATTCGTTCTACAAAATGTTATACATATGTACTTAGCCAAAAATAAATGTCTATATGCCTGTTTCCTATATTACTCATCGGCATTTGATCGGACCCTTCCAGTAAGACTGGTATAAATTGATAAAGTTGGGTGTTACGGGCAATTTTCCAAAAATCCTGAAATCCATGTACTGAAAGTTAATATCTAATGTAAAGTTTAAAGGTGAGATATCAGAATATTTTAATCGTCATATTGGTTTATGTACTCATTTTATGTAAATGATATTGAAACCGAATTACTGGAAAATGATTGTCAGTCACTAACTGTAAATGATATAAACTTGTACTTAATAATGTATGCAGATGATACTGTTCTTTTAAGTGGAGGAATTGTAAAATATATTCATGGAAATATAAAAATTGTAATATTGAAATTGTAAAAAACTTTAATTACCTACGTGTTAACCTTAATATAATTGTAAACCAATTGTAAACCAAATCTTATTCAACAAATAATAGCATCTCAGTGTAATAAAGCATGTTCCAGCTTGCACAAACTAAGACAAGAAAACAGTTTCAATATAAAAACAAGCCTTTCATTATTTGACACATATATTGGTTCCATATTAAACTATGGCTGTGAAACATGGGGATACCACCCTGGAGATGATATTGAAAAAGTTCACACAAAATATTGTAAAAGAATACTTGGGGTAAAACAGTCTAGAACTAATGCACTCATTTATTATGAACTGGGGAGATTACCTCTATCTTTAATAAGAAAATATAGAATTATTACATATTGGCTTAAGTTACTGAAAACCAACAAGGATATGCTTGCATTGCATACGACCAATAAGAGTTATAGCCCTTGGGTAAATTTTGTTAAGAGTTGTTTAGAAACTTATGGCTTTGGTTACATATGGGAAACACAATTTGTATTTGACGATAAGATATTTTTGAGCGAATTTTATCAGAGAATTAAAGATGTTTATGTTCAATTATTGGCAGAATACTTTGAAACGTCTTCAAAATGTCTTTTTTATAGAAGTTTGAATGCAGATTTTAAATGACAGTTTTATTTAAAACATCTAATATATTATAAGAATGAAATTTGTAAAATTAGAGTTAGCTCACATTGCCGAAAAATTGAGACAGGGAGATATTACAATATAGAGAGAAATGATAGGCTTTGTACACAGTGCCGGACTGGGCCCACCTGTCCACCTGTCCGTGACAGGTGGGCCTAAAGTTAGGTTCACACCAACGGCGCTTTGATGGCGCTTTAAAGCGGCGTGCAAAGCGGCACCAAAGCGTAACAAAGCTCGACTAAAGCGTCATGGTCGTAATAGATCGTTGGAAAACTTTGAGCAAAGCGGGACATTCGGCAAGAGCACCAACAAATTTTAAGACTGTTTCAAAATTTTGGGCGCTCTGTCACGAATTGATTAAAGCGCTGAGAGCGTATCAAAGCTTAACAAGGCGTAACAAAGTTCAGCAAAGCTTGACCCAAAGCGTAGGAAAGCTTAACAGAGCTTTGTTCAAAGCGGGGACCCCAGTCGTCACGGTCTGTCACCACTTGACACGCTTTGTTAAGATGTCTCAAGATTTGCTACGATCTGGCATGAAGATCTGACACGCTTTGTTACGCTTTCCCACGAATTGAGACGCTTTGATCAAGGATTGACACGCTTTGCTAGGCTTTGTTACGCTTGGCAAGCTTCCTCACGCTCTCGACTGTGACTTGGGTACCACTCATTGCATTTTTTCAGAAAAAGTATCCTGAACCTGAAAAACAACACAAAGATGGGACCCAAGAGAGGTAGTGGTGCAGCAAAGATGAATAATAACATAAATAATAATCATAGCATCTTCCAAAGTACATATAATAACATAATAATTTCAAATTTCCAAGTCAGTATTACAAAATAATGTTCATAACACACTAGTCTTCATCCTCAGTCTTGCGGGCTCTCTCTCTCTCTCCCTCTCTCTCTCTCTCTCTCTCTCTCTTCAGTCTTCACTTCATCAGCCTCGAACCCACTCCTCTCTTCAACTGCACAAGGAAGTACAACACCAGCCATTTTTTGCTGCCAGTCAACATCACACACTTGGGAGAGAAAGTAGTCTTTGAGATGTTCTCTCTGACGTCTGGTATCCACAGTGGCGCGGCCCCTTACAGGTGGCAGTGGAACATCTTCCCAATGAGGTTCATGTCTCCAGGCCCCTGGTATGATATTGTGCTCTTCATTCTCGTGATCCACCTCATTGGCTGCCATCACCACCCTCTGCCCCAGCAGGTTGTGCAGCACCACAGCAGTCTCCACCAAATGTCTCTACCTTCTGTTCCAGTGTTCCCAGCAGGCACCTGAACCTGTTTGCCAGGATGCCAAAGGCATTCTCCACCACTCGTCTACCCCTTGAGATCCTGTAGTTGTAGATTCTCTGCTCATCTGTCATCCCTCTTCTACTGTATGGCTTCATCATGTAGCTCTTCAGGGCAAAAGCATCATCAACCAGGATGAAGTATGGAATATCTGGCTTAGTTTCCCCAGGGATAGGGCATGATGGGGGCAGCCCTATGGACCCATCTGCTAGGCTTTCAAAGAGCTCAGAGTCTATGAATATCTGGGAGTCAGACATGTGTCCTTTACCTCCCAGCTCAATCCAGATGAACTTGTACTGTGCATCTACCAAGGCCAGCATTGGTATGGAGAAGAACTCCTTGTAGTTGTGGTAGAGACTGCTGGCTTCTTGATGGCTGGCTTCATCAAAGCTGGCTTCTTGATGGCTATATGTTTTCCATCCGAGGCACCAACTGCATGGGGGACATGCCACCTCTGTTCAAACTGCTGGGCAAGGTTTCTCAATGCTTCAGGGGAGGTAGGGGGGTGGAAGACCTCATCTTTATACGCCTGTACAATGGCCCTGCACACTTCCGGAATCAGCTCTGATATGGTGGAGATACCACATCGGAATCCATATGCCAGTGACCTGTAGTTGTCCCCAGTGGCCAGAAGTCTCAGGGTGATTGCCAGCAGCTTTAGGCCAGCGGACAAGGGGTGCCTGTAGTTAGTCTGCTGCTTCTGGATGACTGGTGCCACTCTCTCCAGGATATCATCGAACACCTCAGGGGTAAATCTGGTCAAGTTTCTGAAGGCAGCAGAGTCTTCTAATCTGAGTTGTGTATCCAGGAGGCTATTGTATATGAATAGTCTTCTCCCTCCTGCTGGTAGACCAACCCCCCCTTGTCTTTGCTGTTCTTCCTCCTCCTCAAGGGCTAGGATGTATTTATACAGTAGGGAGACAAACATTATGTCTTCTTCAGATAGATTATGCTCTACTACATCTGGAACTTCTGGATCTTGTAGTTCTGCCATCGTGTTGTGGAGTCAAAGATGCAATGATTTTGTGGATCTGCTCTGGATCAAAAGCGGCATGAAATTTTCCAATGCGTAACACAGCTTAACAATGCACAACAGAGCTTGATAATCGTATCCGAGCGTGATTTAAAGCGTCTTAATCGCATCAAAGCGTGATGTAAAGCGTAACAAAGCGTAACAAGGCCTGATCAAATCGGGAAATAATTCGTCCCCCAAAGCGTAACCAATTTGTATCAGAGCTTATCAGAGCGTAACATTACTTAGGAGATCGTGATATTTTTGGAAAAGTAAACAAAAATGATGGCGCTTTGCTCGCCGATTGGTGTTAACTAGACTTAAGCCTATAAAGAAAAAAGAGAAAGAAAAAAGAAAAGAGAAAGAAAGGAGAGGGGGGACAAAAGAAAGAAGGAAGGCGAGGACAGGACAGACCCCCTTCGGATGCTCGCGCGCCTTCGGCGCGTACTTTTGTGGGCCTTGGTCAATGACCTGACAGCTGGGCCGAAGGCCCATCAGTCCGGCACTGTTTGTACATACTGTAATGATTTGGAAATAGAAGATGAATATCATTTTGTCTTAGTCTGTAAATCCCACACAACTTTAAGAGAAAAATATATAGACACATACTATTGAAAAAACCCATCAATGTTTAAATTTATTGAACTGCTGAATATTGAAAATTGTATATTTTTAAATAATTTAGGAAAATTTGTACATTTTGCGCTGAAATCTCGCTTATAGAGATACCCTATATAATTGTACATCTCCGCCATCACTACTTTATTGTGAACTATTGTTTTGTAAAACCTATATACTATGTATTTGGTAATAAACAAACAACAAATAATTTACACATATAAAAATGCATTACATTTTGTTAAATAAATAGCATTATATAATTATATAATAAATAAATGCCTTACAGCATAACAATCATTTTACATTATCTGGTTGATGATTGTGTTCTGATCCAACAGTGGTAAGAACATCATTCTTGGTGTTTACAGTAGCTGGACATGTTTTTGTTGAATATTCCCAATGGACGGCATTTGGTCTGCTTGACTTTATTCGATACGTGTAACCATTGTGTATGAATTTTTTTATTTCACTGCGACGTTTCAACAAGGTTTCACAAGGTTTATATTTGTTTATAGATTTTTATGTGTAGCTATTTACCTTTTTTCCCCAAAAGTTTATATACAAATCAAACAGATATACAACTGTGCATTATCTATTGTCAGATATATGATATACAATATTTTTTCATACAAAATAATTTATTATAATATCGGAATTTTGAAACACTATATACATAGTATATGTTATTGTTATATCAATAGTAATAATTGATCATTGAGGAAGAAACATGTTCGACGAGTGGAATCGGTTGTCTTATCGCGATTGTACTTAAATATTATACTCTGGTAGTAACAATGACTTCCGCGACAAGCTTATATAAGTAACAATATAAACACATAAATCTATCATACATTTGATAAACAAGTAAATACAGTATTATACAATCTGACCAAACGTTTTTACATATAAAGAAAACTTTTAAAAAGTCTGTAAAAATCTAGTATTACGAAGTAATGTCATGGTAAGATTGAAATATTATGTCATCCTAAACCAAAAGTTTGTCTTTATTTTCTCACACAGTATAAAAGTAATAGAAAAGAAATAGTATAGTTTGATTATTATAAGATGTCAAATTAAAATATGGTTTAGGTAATTGGAAGGATTTGTTATCGGAGATGTTTTGTATATGTGTTGTAGTGAACTTACGATAATAATATAAATACGGACAGTTTTCAAACAAGTGAGTAAGTGTCTCTTCTTTAATTTTGCAATAATTACAAATTATATCTATTCTATGGAAAGTACGTGATTGTAAAAGTTGCGTATTTTTAAGTGCAGAATGAACAATAAATTTCATATTTTTCCATATACGTTTGGTATTTTAAAATAAATATAATTTCGACACAGATCGACCATCTATTTATATTAATATAGTGAATTGAATTCATGTTTGAAGGCATAACGCCGGCATGAACTGTGTTCAAAATGTCATTAATTAGTTGGTTAATAAATTTTATTAAGAGGGATTAAGAGCTCATTAACGCTGAACACTAGTGAACCGTTCTTGAGTGACTAATTTTAAACAAAGTATAGTTTTAAGATCAATTAAAAGGATTAACAGTCTGCCATAGAGAAATTTAATAGTTGGAAATAGATGGTAATCTTACACAAACGAGTGTACATATATTATCGTTTCTTTGAGTATTGTTTGTGCATGTTCACGAACATTTGTTTATAAAGAAGTATTTTTATTATGTACGATTCTTATATTTGAAACCACACTTTTACATCTTCTGTTTGTATTCTTCTACTTCCACCCAATAGGACAAAGTGGGCCATTGATTAGTCGTAAAGTAGTCTAGATTGTCACCTTTTAAATTTTGAAAATTCTTTCCGCGCTCTAAAATCTCCATAGTTCGAGGCTATATAACGGCGACACAATTTAGCCAATTGGTCTGCATTGTGTCGCTGAAAAATGAAATGAAATGGGGTTTAACGTCCGTGTAGCTGAAAACAGCTCATTGATGATTCCTGTATAATACTATTTTCTATTTGATAGTACTTCCCATATTGAACCCCAAGCCTAAATTAAAACCATTTTCCAGTCACTTTCAAACTCTATCCCCCCCCCCCCCCTATCTGCGACCCATTTTAATGTATCCATATTCACTATGTAATTATCGATGCATCTCCCTCTGCGTAATCCTGCATAAGTATAATTTTATCTAAATTTACTATCTGTACGATATGCAGGAGGGACACTACACCAATGTCCATATTTTGTGCAGAAACTTTTTTAGTTTTATATTCCTCGCACTGATTTACCAATCAATTTACATTATATTCATCCGCTAAAATTAGTAGTCCCACAGAATCAACATCTTCTATTGAGGTGTGGTCAATGTAGTGTAACGTTTCCTTGAAGGGATAACAACGTTTGGGGTATGGGGACTTTGCTATCTCTGCCACCAGTGATCAATTCCTGGCTGATCACGAGCCACCGGTAAACGGAACTTCGGAAGGATTTGTAAGGACCAGCTAAAAAGTGGTCAGTAACGATGTTCTGCTAAAATTATAATAAGCTTCACCGTAGGGATAAGACAGACTCGTTCAGTTTTCAAACCTTTATTTAACAAAAACTTTCAAAATATATATATCAGTATTTACAGCTTCAATGTGTTTATTCTGTTAACTGTCCTTTTTCCGAGTGAACAGCGTTCAGCGTAAGGGTCTTTACATTTTCGGGCGAATAACATTCGCCGTACTTGTTCTTGAATCTGCCAGTGTCTTTACTTTTTCGGGCGAATAGCATTCGTCGTACTTTTCTTCAATCTGCAACTTGTCTTTTTCGGGCAATCCTAGATTGCCGTACTCTCTGAAACAGAAGGGAGCTTTAAAGGAGCTTCTGTGCCATCGGAACGTAGCTTGTCGATATCAGCGAGTTCATCGCTGACCTTCGACCGCAGTCTCAGAGGTAAGCCTGCCGTGCAAATTCAAGCCATCTTAATGTATTTATTCCTACTGGCGGTTCACAAATATTGCATGAAGATATTCAAATCATAAGAACATAAACACGACTAATAAACAGTATCATATTGATTATAAAAGTACAATGTATATATTGGTTATGGTTACTCTCTACACCTTTGGTATACTTCTCTTTAGGAAGTTTAGCTTCATGGGAAAATCTGAAAGATTCGAGTTCGATAGGCACTTAAATACTTTGCTAAATGTTACATGGTCTAGTTTGTTGCACTTTCCATACCATATCACTGTCTTCTTGAAGTGCGCCCAGAAAAGCATCTCTTGCAAGAATGTCTTGTAACCCTTGCTCCGCCGTTGGATATGCCATGTGCACAAGTCGTTTGATTGACTGGCCTAACTCTGTGAGTTTTTCTCGTGGATGTCTTCGACGGGACTTCAACTCTGTACGGTACAGTTCTGTCTGATTCCTTGGCTGGAATCGCCTCTCCAGGGCGTTCACCAAGATTGTGTACTTGTACCTCTTTGTAGACTGGAGCGAACTCAACACTTGCTTGGCTGGCCCTGTTAAGCTTCCAGCTAGATATAGACCCGCTCTTCTGGTGTCCATCCGTTTAACTTAATACATGTCTCGAAGTGAAATAAATAGTCCATTAAGGGCGTGCTTCCATCAAATTTTGAGGCAACCAAAATGGGCTCTTTATAAACTGGTTGTACCATTGGTCGATTACGTACCGTTCTCTCAACTTCAGCATTTGCTTGATATCTAGGAACCATTGGGTTTAGCACAGGAGGAGACAATGAAGTCCTGAACTCAGGGTTTTCAAATAATGGAGGAGTTGGCAAACGTCGTCTCAACTCTTTCTTTAACGGTGATGGACGTGGCAGATAATGTGTATCTTGTGGCACTTCGAAATCATCAAGAAACCGCCTAGTCTGCTGAGTAATAGAGGATGGAGGTCTTCTAGTTGTGCTCTCGTCAACTGGATTAAAACTACGAAAGCCAACGCGCTCTCTTTCTTTCTGTTCACCAGCACCATCCTCCAAACCCAAGCTTCTACTCAGGGTTTTAAATTCACTAGAGATTTCTTCTAATTTCTTTTTTTCTGCCTTGTCCGCCAAACTTGTTGGTGTATCAGGGAGTTCTGCCATTCTGAAAGATTGTCAAAAGGTTCTAATACTGAACGTCTATTTTTAATTCCTTATTCCATACAATTATCCCACCTCTGCCACCAAAAACGTAACCACGTTTGGGGTATGGGGACCTTGGTATCTCTGCCACCAGTGATCAATTCCTGGCTGATCACGAGCCACCGGTAAACGGAACTTCGGAAGGGTTTGTAAGGACCAGCTAAAAAGTGGTCAATAACGGTGTTTTGCTAAAATTCTAATAAGCTTCACCGTAGGAATAAGACAGACTCGTTCAGTTTTCAAACCTTTATGTAACAAGAACTTTCAAAAAATATATATCAGTATTTACTGGCGGTTCACAAATATTGCATGAAGAAATTCAAATCATAAGAACATAAACACGACTAATAAACAGTATCATATTGATTATAAAAGTACAATGTATATATTGGTTACACTATATATATATGACAAAACATCAATCATTCGATGATAATAATTATTTACTAATTATATAAATCATTTTAATAAGTATGAGTTATCTTTTACGCTAATCTAAAAATAATTACCCTGGTTAGAAAGGTATGGACAATTAAGGTATTTAAAGAAATGATTACGAGAGAACATGACACTATAGACTTCTATGGTAAGACATATAATACATGTTTAATATATATATATATATATATAGAAATGACAATGCCCTGCGCTAACAAATAATGTAATATGATAGTATTAGTAAATATAAAAAAAACAAAGTAGTCGCGAACATCCTGGCTCTTGACTGCTTCAGTAGAGATATTCAAAAAGTGCCAATAATATTTCAGGAGATATGTAATGTATAGTACCTGTATGATAAACAAAATCAATTAGTTTCAAATTCATTGATTATATTTACATAGTTGGTATTAAAGTAGAAATATTGCATCAATTTATAAATTAAACATATGATACCTTACTAATGTTTGTTTACAATATGACGCAGTGGACTCTTGTCTTACGGCTGGCCACCGGATCCATTCACGTGATTTAATATTTGTTATTTATTGCCTCCAACGTCTATGTGTCTTGTCGCCAGGTTTGTCTTATCGGTTTTGTTTGCACATACTCCTACTCATACAATAAGTATCACTTGAAAATAATGCAAGTAGGACTACCAGCCACTAGCCCATAAACTATTATGCATATTCAATAATAGGCAAGATCAAACTATGATTAATGATGACGGATTAATCTGTCTTCCATAGACTTGTTGTTACTGTAAGCACTCTTTAACTGTTAACCGGGATATGACACAGGGCTGTGAGAGTAGGGTCAGTGAAGGAATAGTTTCTACAGTAATACATACACACACATTATTGATTGAAATCCCCGACGAACGCTTGTAATACCTTACAAAAGTTGCTTTTATTCATAGAAAGTTTTAAAAATATAACTATATAAACCGTTTGCTAATATCATGATTGCTAAAACGTACATCAAACGTCTTTGCTAAAATCGTCTTTTTTCGCCAGACGTTTAATTAACCTTTTTATAATGAGAAGTCCAAATCATTTTTAATTTTCCTTTACATGTTATGTCAATACCCGACGACTGTTAGTTCAAGTACAAGCTATAGCCACATTTACCTATGCGTAGTTATATCATTTCTTATGTCTTACTATTTTGATTATTACTCCTTCGCACCTTCGCCAGTGTTGTAGTAAGATTCAAAGCACCCGGGAGCAAGGATAAACATACGTTATGCAAGAGCTAAATGTGCCTATTGCAGGTCTTTCTTTAGGCCTGAAATGTTATTTAAATCATTAATTAGACATTAATTAACACAACAAGACCGTAATCAACTTTCGATTGCATCTGATACTCGAGATTTTAACTAGATTAGAACCGTTTGCCATTAAAAAAATTTAATTTAAAAATGGGAAAGCGAGACTAAAAGCGAGACTAAGTTTCGAATATACCAGTGCCCTGGTTACCACTATGCACACATCTTGTCAAAACTACAAACAGTGATAATTTGGCTCAAAATGAAATAATTTGAATGAAATTTTCAATATTTTCTTTTTTTTATCATCTATTTTTGAATTATTATAGCAAGAATGGCCAACTCTTGATTAAACTCTTAACTAATGCATCTTTAATAATTTACCGATTAAACGCTGTCACGAGCATAATATCAATGACGTTACATGTGCTTATATTCGAGCAGAAATTTAGGGAATATTCGATTGAACGTTTGATAGAATTATTTTATTCCTCAAAAAAGTGACAATCGAGTGAAAACGTGATATCGAGCTGTAAAGCATACGCCGACTTGCATACCAAAATATCCTTACCAACCATGACCGCTGAAAAACATTCGTTATGTTTTTAATTACGTCACGATTCTACAAACAGCACCTCGGTGTCGGGAAATGAAGATGTGCATACGCCATACAGTGTGCTGCTATGAGGAGAATTTGACCCACTCTCATATCGAATTCAATCTGCTAAGCGTTCTTTTACGTGAACGACAATGTGTACACGGGACCTCGGGTTTTCATCCCATCCGAACGATTATACGTTGTTCATAACCCGTTGTTCATTGCCAGGGCTGACACAATTGTGAATTCCGCGTTACTCAGTTGTAATTCGACCGCTTCAGAACGTTCTGGTCCTGGACTAACAACCGAGCATCCCCATATACAACTGAAATAAAGGGGAACAATAATTATAAATTAACCAGAATTAAAGGTCAGTTGCCTAGAGGAGATGTGTACCGTTTAGTTATGCAGTTAAAGATGCTTTATGTAAGATTTATATAAAGAGCTGGGTCTGGTTGCTCAAAACTCAGGTATTTTAACGATCCGTTAAATTCATTCTAATTACTTTATTATGAGCGAAGTTCTCAGCATTTCATGTTTTGACAAGATAAGGTTAGCCTCGAATCGCCATTTGTACATTAAATCATTATATTCATTTCAAGTCAGTTCATTGATAAAAACATTTTAATCATTGAGGAGAAATGATGTACAAGTTCGTTCACATTCATATCATATTTATAATATCTCAATAATAGTTTATATATCTTTTGAAAATAGACCTGTAATAGGCAGATTTAGCTTTTACATAATGCCTTGAAGTTTCATCGTCTGTAAGGGTTTTATATGTAAAATAAGGATAAACCACAGCTCTCGTTTTCGAAGAGTTATCTACCTTTATTCATATTTCAAAATGCTGCCCTGGACTCGATATGATGTTTTAAATAAGCGTGCAGTGATTAACCTGAAATGTACCGGGATTTTCGAACCGGAAATATTATAATTAGCTACCTCTCTGGGTTATTGCATATTCTAAATTATCACCTTCTAAAAGTGGCGTAATGCAAGGATTGGATAACAATTGCAATCATATTTTGTGGGAAGATATAACGGGTGTCGTGCTTGTTAGACTTCACGCGGAGATACATATCTACTTCAATTGGTATTTGCAAGTAAAAGATGATGTGATTACTAACATACCTCCCGGGTCATCAGTCACTACCTAACTTGGCCCATTATCCATTGTTTTCTTCAGCATTTTTAATCCATAAGTTCTAAGTTCCAGATTAAAGGGAAGCCCACACGTGTCCTGTGCCAAAGATCAATCAGGTCTTAATTTATTCTCACCAAAAATCCGTTCTATTTTTTTTTACTTCTATCTAGCTCAACAATCTCTTTACATTATGTTCAGAGGCTGCAAGCAGAATCAAATTTTGAAGTGGCACCTTGGTGTTTACCTCACAACAAATCCCACATCAGTATATACAGCTTCTTCATTGTACCAAATTTGGAAAGAACTTTATCATAATGTAGGTGCTATCACTTTAAGAAATTTTTTCTAGAGCACTGAAAATCGACAAGGTTCGTCATCTCATGTCCCCAATTCTTCACATAGTGTTTTCAAAAAGTGTAACACTATCTTAGTGATGACAGAGATCGGTTTCGTACAAATAAGTTGTATTTACATAGGAACAGAATATAAACAACTACATAAATACAACAGGAACTAAGCTACATCGAGAATATAAACGATAACATTAACATGGTACATTAAAACAACCATTCCGTCCTCCTGCCACACTAGCGACAGGAGGCATATTGAAACCAAAATCAATCAGACTGTATTCACAAGACAGCGTCCGTCAAATGTTTTTTTCTTAAAACTAGACCGACGTCTCGGACACTCATCCACCATCCGGGAACTGGGGCCAAGATAGATTTTTTTTCGCGGTTTATTTCGTGACGGCATGGGAGCGCTGAAATAATTTGAGTTGATAGTCACAGGTAGGGCTCAACTAGGGGCTAACTTGAAAAAATTCGGGCCACTTACCTGAAAATAATTATCAATGCTGAACATTTACCCTTTGTTGGCCAGAGAATACTCTTCGAAACGTCGCCCAATTAAATAAGTAGCTGTTTTTCCATAAGTATGTGTTTTTGTGTATTAACGCCTATGTGTTTAATTGCAAGATGCGTCTTTTTTAAATGTTTGGTAAACATGATTATATACATTTAGGATGAAAATTTGATCTAAAAAATAATAAATTAGGTAAAAACTGGCGATCTTGGTTAACCTGACTCGCTATTATCTAAGGTTAGGATTAGGGACATGGTCCTGAATGGGAGCCACATCAATCATAATCCAAAAAAGTAACACATCATATACCCATTTTTGCGATTGACATAGCTTCTCAACGATGACTTAATATACATGGTTCTGTCATTAAGAGTCATTACAGTTTTACTTTTGAGTGTTCTATAAATATATTGCAAATGTTATAAATTCGATGAATTTTCCACGGTGTTTTTAAATATATGAAATAACTCTGACTCTAACTCTAGGACACTGTGTTTTTATAACTATGTTGATATATCAAATACAGAAAACTACAACATCTATGATAATACATTGGGAGTTATTTACAGTCCGAGTTTAACAGCCCTAAGGACTGAAACACTACATATTGTCTCTATCTCGGCCCCCCAAAAATGGCTTGGCTATAGTTGAGTGTACCCCCCTTCTCTCTCTCTCTCTCTCTCGGTATGAAGCATATGTCTGCTAGTCAGTTAAAGCAAAATATTTTTAGAATCTCAGATAGTATTTGACACAATTTAATTTGCACGCAAGACTTCTTATATATTATATTGTATTATTAATTACGCGAAAGCTTAAAATATCTGTTGATGTAATGTGTGATTCAGTTACTCGGTTAATGTGCCCTAAAAGTTGTGAATAAAGAGGCCGACCAGGAAACATTTGCCTTTTTCTAGGGAATTGATATCGATGAAAAGAATTTTAAGACATGAATATGAATTACCAGCGGCCTTTTCACCTATACCTTCAGTGGCGGATTATATAACTATGGGGTATGGGGTGGTGGGTGGTGGCTGTATTCGAATAATATTCTTATAAAGACATTTTATAAGCCTGAACTTAAAGAAAATAAAGATAAAATAACTCGGATTGGACTAATAATTTTATTAAATCCCAGTCAACGGCAGTTCACCCACACAGAGGAGCCCACATATCGCTTAACTACCCCACCCTGCAACTTTTGTTGAAAATAAATGCTTGAGCAGCCTCTAATACAAGTTTCGACTCTTAGTCATGAATTATTTCCTCATAGAGCTGCGCAAGCTTTGTACATGAAATACTTAATTTAATGATATAAACTGGATTATAGGGGGTGGATTTGATGCATATTATAGGGTGTAGATCAGATGCAAATACAGTTTGCAACAAAAAGGCTCAATTCTTAAACCTTAAGGTAAGAAGTTTTGTTTTATATTTCCAAGAAATGGTATTAAACATTTTATAAGTCAATTTTCAATTGACGTTGAATCTGAAGGACCTCCATGTTGAATTTATCCCCGGAAATATGGCTGAAAACTTTTGTGAAAACGAAAAATATGTATCTTACTACAATTACTTCAATCAATTAATTTGTTTTGGTAGATTCATACCAATGATTCATAGAATGATAAAGAACAAAACAAAAAGTCTTCGATTGCCAGTCATGACACCACTGCTTCGCTGTGATCATAATACCCCGATACATTAATACGTACCACATTAACATAACAATGCACACTCAAGGTTATATTGGTTATATAATATCATCGGTGTTTTTATAATAGTATACCATACAGGTATATACAAGTTGTGCATATATTTTAAGGTGGTAAACATAGACGGTAGTGATGCTATCAGGACAATAAAACATTGCATAACGTTTGTCCATTTTCATTATCCAGATTAGTGCAGTAAAGTAGGACATTAAACCCAATTTCATAATCCGGCAACGGATTATTTAGTTTTGGATGGTGGGAAGCACAGTTTATATTTTGGAAATTCTAAATTAATATTTGTGTTTTAAATGTAAAAATTATCCTTAAAAATTGTGAAAATTGGAGACCAAACCTATTGGCTCAAATAAGTATTTTTGATCTTTATAAAATAGAAATCCAATTTTTAATTAGACCTATATATTGTTATTGTTACTTTATTTTTTCAGACATTTATTTCAGACTAAAACGATTGATAGACACATTTTAAACTAAAAAACCTTTAGACAATGTCTCTGGCAAACTTGTTAGACGAGTACAAAAGTAAAGTTGAATGCAGCCTTAATAAGTTGAGGGAAGCAACAGATAGTGATGATGAAGAAGAGAATCCATACTTTCCAAATTTTGAAGTAAGTCCAAGGATGTCGTCAATGATTTCGCTTATAAAGGATACCAAGATTATTTACTTTACTTCGTGTTTGAAGGGATTTTCTGAAGAAGTACGAGAGAAGCACCAAAAAGACATGTCCGACTACATCAGTAAAAATAAACAAATCCTGGGGGTTCTGTGTGATATTATTGTGGATCCGCCTCAGCCAAACTGCCCTTTTCTTGGCGAGTTGCAGATGATGTCCTTACAACTGGTAATGAATCTGACGGACAACTCGGAGGATTTGTGTGAAGCTGTTTGTCAAATACCAGAATATCTTGGCTATTTAAAAGGCATTTTGGATGATAATGAACCCGATGATGACGAAATGTCAGATGTAAGTGTGAGATACCATTATATTTGTTCTGTTCATATAGTTATGAGCTCTCAACAGCGCGTACCACGTATTCGGGACATCAGAAGATATATTGGATCAATTATTAATAATAATAATAATAATAATAATAAGGATAATTATAATATACTATTCAAAAAAAGTAGGGGATATTTGATTTTGGGGGCATAATACTAAAATATGCAAATGACTACGAAGAAAGTCACTATAGAACCTAACAGAAGAAACATTTCCAGTTACATGTGACGCCCAAACGCACCAATAGCTACCGCATGGAATGCAGGTGATGCTTGGGATCATCATGGGGGTCCAACCCAAGATTTGCACGACTCTGACTTTGAATGTTACAGTCATTGTGGCATTGAATTCCAGGGTGGAAACATCAGTTTAATTGTTTTAGTGACCAGAAAACAAATTTTGATATGCGTCGGCTTACCCAAAATGAAAGGTTACGTGCCCTTGGCATGCTACAGATCGGCACAACACAGGCGGTTGTGGCGCGGACGATGAATGTTTCTCAGTCTGTCATAAGCAGGCTATGGTCCAGATACCGTGATACACAATCTGTACAGGACAGACCACGCTCAGGTCGACCAAGGGCGACAACTCAAGCCCAGGATCGATTTATCCGTACCTTGGCCTTGAGAAATCGTGTCATCACAGCAAATCAGATCAGCGCTCGTCTTCAAACAGACACTGGTGTGAGAGTGAGTGGCCAGACGATTCGGAATCGACTGCATATGGGTCACCTTCGCGCCCGACGTCCTCACGTGATCCCTTGTTTGAGAGATCATCACATTCAGGCAAGACGTCTTTGGTGTAGGGATCGTCAACACTGGGATAATCGACGCTGGAGCAATGTGATGTTTTCAGATGAGTCAAGGTTCACTGTTGATTTTTTGGACAGACGTAGGAGGGTGTGGCGTCGTCGAAACGAGCGCTTCCAAGACGTTAACGTCATCAGACATGATCGATTTGGGGGTGGTTCTGTTATGGTGTGGGGAGGCATCACTGTTGCTGGAAGAACGGCTTTACATGTTGTTGCAGGGCGTGTTACAGGCCAGTACTACCGGGACAACATCTTGGCAGTCCATGTTGTGCCGTTCGCACGACGTCATGGCCGCCGTTTCATCTTCCAGGATGACAACGCAAGATGTCACAGGGCCAGGATCGTTACAGGTTACCTCCAACAACAGAACATCACCACATTACCTTGGCCAGCACTGAGTCCCGACCCCTCCCCCATCGAGCATGTCTGGGACATGCTTGGACAGAGGTTACGTCAACGTCAACAACGTCCTGCCAATGTCCAAGAACTTGCTGCTGCGTTGCAACAGGAATGGGACAATCTGGACCAAAATGACCTTAGACGTCTCATTAGGAGTATGCCACGTCGGATCAATGCTTGTTTGGCAAACAGGGGAGGATTTACCCGTTACTGACTTGGTTGTGATGCTGTGGTAACTTTGCTGTTTGACCCCGGGTATCATTTTACCCTTATAATGGTCAGTCTGTGCCTTCTTTAGTCTAACGATCATTTGGAATAAATCGATGAATGTGAACTTCATTTCATTTTGTCATTTGTTTCTTCGTCAGTTTCATTAGGTGACTTTAATAACACTTAAAAATCAAATATCCCCTACTTTTTTTGAATAGTATAATAATAATAAATAATTGTCTTATATAGTGCTTCATTATGTTCATTGGTCATATCTAAGTGATGTTCAGCCACATTGTATATTATATAGAAAGTATCTCTAGAGTATATTTATGATCACACCACTAGAACATCTTATTAAATAGATAGTTTTTAAAACAGATTTCAATTCTGTAAATGTAGGTATTTCCCACATTATTTTTGGAAGATCAGTCCAGAGAATTGCAGCATTAACAGGAAAAGAAATATTGTCCACGTAGCTTATTATAACATACATTTTACAATTTTTTGGAGGGCTCATGTTCCCACCATTAACAAAGAATGACCCAAATGTAGTTCTTAAATTGGTTTGATATGATGGTCAGTTGCATTAGGCACCCAGTAGTGAAACGTTTTTGAATAATAATTAACAATTTTGTAAGAATTTTACACTTCAACGCACAAATTTAAGAACGTCGGCGATACGAAGACATAGCGAATTGTGGGTAATCAGGGCGAAAAATGAAAAATATTCAGTTATTTATTGCTTTGGCCACCTTTAAAAACTCTTTGAGTAATTAAATTATATACGCTCGTATATATTTAGCTGATGCATTGGACTATCGGTCAAAACTTCTCTGTGCTACAAGAAGTCGGCGTCAGTTAAAGATTAAAGGTTTTGTTGAAAATTCAGTACTTTTATTTTACCAGGAAGACAAGAAGTGTTTATATCGTATCATTGGGCTAGTCAACAACCTTGCAATAGATGACAACAATATAAATGTGTTACGTAATGCAGATTTTCAAACATCACTTACAAAATATATATCAGCTGATGATGATCGTATCAATCTGGCTGCTCTTCTTGGCTTAGCTGCTATTATGTCCGAGGATGAAAATGCAAATATCAAGGCTTGTACTAACACTATTACAAATTTGATAGATGAACTTGAGGAAAGTCTCGACAGTGATATGCATAGATCACCAAGTGGATGGAAAAGCATTGAATTGGGATCGGGTAAGGCTATTGAATTTTACCAGAAGAATATTACCATTACATTAAGAAAAATCATGTACTATGTATATAACACTATAGGGTTATTTTAGCTCTAAGAAAGGTGTTTTGTTTAATATAGAAATCTTTACCTACATGATGTGTGACGAAAACTAGGGTAATGAAGTAGTTTGCATTATCCTACTTCTAACTTAGAGTCTAGACTTAGACTAACTCACCCTCAGTTATGTCAGTATCCATTTCTGGAAAGTGGGGCACTATCATCCAGTCATCTCGGGCACAGATTAGTACAATTAACTAGAATTTTTGACGTTAAACGGTACCTATACGAAACACTTACCCAAAAATGGTAATTGTCCCGCCCTACCTATAGCCTCCTCGGCTTAGAGGCTAGGGCGAACACATCATCCTAGCCCGAACTTTATGTAGAACTAACATGAAGTATGTGACTCTTGCCACGTTTAAGCCGTTAGGCCTGAGTTAGAAAGGATATTTTAATAAATCAAAAAGTAACTATCATAGATATTGTAGTTTCGTGTATGTAACCTTTTTAGTTTGCTGTATTCGTTATATAAACTTAGTAACAACATAAACGGTGTTCCAGAGTCAATTAATTGATGATTGAAATAATTGATCCAACAACGTGATGTCCAAGCAGGTCCTAGACCATCATCTGTCCCCATAGTGTCACATGTATCACAACGACATTGTTTTTTTGCTTTATTTAATTCAGGAATTCTCAAACTAGCTAGATTTGACGACAACAAAGCTCTATTTGTGGAGAAAAACTGTTTGCCTAACCTGTTGAAGATGGCCAATTCTCAGAATCCAAATGAGCGGGAAGGTTTGTTTGATTTGTTTTTCTTTTCAAGCTACATCCATGGTCCGATTTGATAACCTTTGTCCAGGTTGGGTGGTGTTGGTTTAATCCATTGTTTCAGCATCACAAAGAAATAAACCTGATGGGTATGACAGGTCGTTACTCTCTGAACATTGCGATGGTGGGGGTCAATGTTTTGATTCCGGAAACTGGCACTGGTATCCGATCGTGACAACAGAGCCTACCTCGTCAAGGTAATTAGATATTCGGTTGCCAGGAATGGCATGTATACTGTCTGTTAATAACCCGACTTATGTCACATTCAAAGAAGCTAATTAAATTAGCCCGTCTTGATTTACTTTCTAGTTTAGAGTTTACCAGGCATTGACTAATAAACAGCATACTACATTTATTTAGATGGGGCCAATGCAACAAACTATAGGATATTTTGATACTGCTGTAAACTAGCATATTGCTTACAGTATGAATAAAAAGATAAATGTATGTATGTTGTATACTCTTCAAAAAAAGTAGGGAATATTGAAATGCAAATACCTATGCACGATGTGATATGATAAATAGTCATGGACACTTGACATGCGTTGAGAGTATGTTCACAGATGAAGAACTTATCGCCCCAACAGAACCATTGAGCTGCACCTGCGGCACGCAAATACACGTGGAAGGGGTTCATTGTCAAATTTGACACTTCAATGAAGGGTTGATGAAAACTGCCGTTTGCTTGTTTATCCTATCCGTGTTTGCTTTCCTATTTTTTCTTGCATAAGATTTACTGTTTAGCTTATCTTTGCTTTAGTGTGTTACGTTTAATGTGATCGGGAGACGTGTTCGTCGACGTCAACGTCAACCGATAACACTGCAAGAATTGGCCGTTGCACTGCAAGAGGAGTGGTCAGATTGCCCCAAATCGTAATTGGACGGTTATATAGGAGCATGCCACGACGAATTACTGACTGTCTGAGGATTGGTGGAGCAATTACTCATTATTAAGAGAAAAATCAAAAACGTCCATTTTAACTATTGACAGTGTATCTCTTTGCGAGTGAAATGGGGCCGCCAGGTAAGCCGCCCGTATAAGCTGTTTATATTCAGGTGTAGACAATTGGCCTGTTATTAACATACATCGGTTACCTCTAATAAAAACAGCAGTGCATTTCCGCAGTTTTGTATTGTTTCTGAATATCCTCTACTTTTTTTGAAGAGTATATTATACTTGTTTCCACTTTTTGTAACTACTTGTATGGGAAAGATACCATGTTTTTCATATTGGGTAATTGTCTAGCTCGGATTGCAACACTACAATGACCCCATTCAAAAAGATATATATCTATAATATGCATAAAATGTATTTCATTTGCCAGTTTCCTTCCGTTGTTTATGGACACTTGCTTTCGACGATGATGTCAAAAAAAGAATAGTTGATGAGCCCAAACTAATCGATTTTCTTGATAAAAAACGTCAATCATCTGACGGCGAATTCAGTTTTGAAGAAAGAGTTTGCAATAATATCCTATGGACTCTGAGATACACTCTTCTAGAATCTGAGGACCATCAATCAATTGGTGAGTATACAAAGGTTATTAGTTGGATTCTGACCTTTTTGTTTTAAAAAAAATGAAATGAAATGCTTAATGTACTACTATTCTGCTCCGACTGGACTTATGAAGACGGACATATGAAATAGATTGTGCCATGGGAGAATTGAGGTACGGACAGCGGCGCTACGGCTCTTATATCGAACTGCCAAGGGATATATAACGTGCATGACCAAACTCTGTCTCGTTTACGTAAACAATGCGTATAGTTCCCAAAAAGATTTGGATCTATACTGACACCCTATTAATAATCGACAATAAATTAACTAATGCAAATTCTGATGGTTAAAGCTTATTTTAATACTCTGTGGCATTATTCATTAGGGTAGAAGAATACTATCGCCATTTCAAATGTTTTCATCATGGTAAATCTCTAAAGAGTTCGCATACCGTCATTTCGGTACTAACATATTGTTCAATTTTATTTCAATAAATCGGTTGCGCGTAGGGGTCTTTAGCAGTGGTAGGAAATCGGAGGATCCGGAGAAAACCCACTTTGTCACTGACAACCGGGGAATCGAAACCACGCCAGTTGACTCAATGATAGAACTTATGATACTACACGCACACGCTAACCATTCGCCCCCCCCCCCCCCAATGCTAGCACGGACCTATTTGCGTCCGACATTTTGTTAGTTGTGGTGGGCATATTTTAAAATCTGCGCTTTTTTAGCCATGATTATTTTACTCTTTGCATTAGGGAAAGAAATGACTGGGGATGAAAATGATGATGAGGATGACGATGACGAAGATGAAGATGAGGATGAGGATGAAGATGAGGATGGAGATGGAGATGAGGATGAAGATGCAGATGCTGAAGATTTTGAAATCGATATTAGTGAAGCTCTAGAAAAACAACAAACGGAAGAACAAAAAAAACTAACCGAAAAAGTGAAACATTCAAAAGAACATATTGGTCACGTAATGATAAGCTACAACTGGGATAAGCAAGATTCGGCAATAAAAATACGAGACCAACTCAAGTTTAACAATATAAAGGTATGGATGGATGTTGATGATATGGAAGGGTCAACACTTGAAGCAATGGCCAAAGCTGTTGAACAAGCTGAGATTGTAATCATGTGTATGTCTCGGAAATACAAAAACAGCGAAAATTGTAGAGCTGGTAACTATATACATTTAACTTATATATGACAGCTCCTGTTATATCATTTAACTTACATACAGCAGCTTTTGTCATGGCATTATGACTTATATACGACAGCTCTTATTATGGCATTTAACTTATACGACAGCTTTTGTCATGCATGGTATTTAACTCTTATCATGACATTTTTATATATGACAGCTCTTGCTTCTTCTTTATTTTCTTCTATTAACATTTAACGACCGCTTCTACCATGGTGATAAGACAGTTGGTCTTATTTCATTATGCTTAGCGCACACGCAGGGGTCTTTATTGTGGGAGGGAAAAGGAGCACCCGGAGTAAACCCACGAAGTTCAGAAGGCGCAGCTATCTCCAAGCAACAGGGAACAAGCTCAAAAAAGAAGCGATGTTTCGTACAATCAAGGGCCATAATTCCAAAGTACCTTGGCGAATCGGTATGGATCTGGTTGTTTGAATTAGTCTAAAATATCTCACCTATCTCTTGCCTTTTTAACGACTACTGATCGCGGATATCATGGTTAGATGACAAGTTCCTGTTTTTTTACTCTTGATACTTCTGTTCTGAAATTATTCCCCATACTGGGCGATATTAGTATGAATTGTGTTTTTTTTTCAGAGGCTGAATATGCTTTTACGAAAAAAAGAAGGATTATACCAATACTGATGGAAACTGACTACGAACCTGATGGATGGTTGGGTATCATTCGTGGATCAAAACTGTGGTACGATTTTAGTGATGAACACTTGATGAATTCAAACATGGGCCGATTTTTAAAAGCGGTAAAAAAAATCACTGATGCAAAGTAAGATGGTCTTGTATTAATAACACCACAAATTTTTATAAAGATTAATCAAAGCTAATTTTAATGCCATTTTATATCTTTGGTCTTGTATTAATAACACCACGAATTTTATAAAGATTCATTAAAGCTAATTTTAATACCATTGAATGTCATTTTAAAATAAAGTTTGTAGTATGCTTTATATTTGAGATTGTTTGGATAATGTTTCTTTCTAGGTATAATATATTGATATCGTTTACGCCACTTCTTCGAGTATTAGTGTTTCGAATCCGATTGATAGGGTGGGGCATCACACGCAGATCAAAACAAAATAATGGTATGATATTAAAGATGACCAGTGGATAGATAGCAAATTTTAAAGGATTTCACAGTATTATTGTATGTCTTTTTAAAAAAAGGTTTTTGTTGTGCATTCTTCTTTTTTAAAAACATATCATTATTGTGGATATCTCACAATTTCAATAGTCAAGCTCATGCAAGCTTTCGAGCAAGGCATTGCCAAATGTTGTTCCATACGTGGTGTTGAGCGTTTAGCCCAACAACAATGTGGTTAAAAATAGGAGCCGGACTGAATTATGTCTTTGTTTCGCGATGATCATAATAATAATGTACGAGTATGACCAAATTGAATGGTATGATAGCAGTTAATATTCTACAATCAATTGTGCCTGTACGAAAGTTGATTTAACACTACTCTCCGTAATCAGGTAAAATATATAAAGATACAATCAACATGGTGTCTCAAAAAATGTCCAGTTACACGATTCGTGTACCAATGGTAAAATGTTTATTTTGTCTTAAATATTGAATATCAGGAGCCCAGCTTTTCCCGGTAAGGTCAAAACACCAATGTTGATTTAAATTGACAAGTAATTCGTGTTTTCAATGTGGAAGACTTTGGATGATATTGATGAGTTAGAGACTTAGCTACTTTAATGAGGGCGCAGTAAACTCAATTTTTCATTTCCCCCCAAAAAACAAAAAAACCCCACCACAAACATTTGAAATTAAATGACGTAGATATATAATGGTTTCTTTGAGTCTTATTTGAGATCACACACATTTATCAATATCGTTGGTATCCCCAGGGGAATCACGTGGCTAAGTGGGTAAGACGCTGGCTCGCTAGCCTGGAGGTCGGGTGTTCGATCCCTGCATTGGCCGAGAAAGTTCATTCAGATTTTCCGGCGTGGTTTCCCCTTGTCAGTGATGCAGGATGGAGGGCCTGACAAGGGCAGCTGTCTAGTCGTTCGGATGGGACGAAAAACCGAAGTCCCGTGTACACATTGGCGTGCACGTAAAAGATCCCTTGGCAGTTGGAATTCGATATAAGAGTAGGCCGTAGCGCCGCTGCCCGGGCAAAATTTCCCTCATAGCACACTGTATGGCGTATGGCCATCTTCATTAGCCCAGGTTAGGAGCAAAACAGTAGGACGTTAAACCCCATTTCATTTCATTTGGTATCCCCAGTGGTATCGTTTCGTTCTTCTCCATTATACCCTGGGTTCATTCACGGAGGAGACACATAGTCAAATTATCCAACCATGATACATGTGCTATTTTTATCGACCAATGTAGTGGACGAAGGGAAGTAACTCGCCTTTTATTGCAACTAAGATTATTGTGGTGAACGTGATCAATGGTCGGGTATAAATATTAATGCCACCTGAAAATAGGGTAATGGCACGTGAACATTGACGAGGTAGGGTTAGGGTTAATAGGGTTTTGATATCAAAAAGACGAGTAGGAGATTTTATTTATTACCCAATCCCTTCTTACATGCACAAATAAATAAATATAATTCTTGCTATATATTTCACTTTTACTGCACCTGATTACATTACGGCGTAGAGATACATCATTTTTTGACATCAATTCAACCATTGCAAAGTCATTTATATTGACCCAGTGTTTCCTTCGAGGTCAATTAAATAAAAATAGTTCATTTTTAATAAAAAAAAAAGAAGTCATCTTTAATAAAAAAAAGTAAACTGTCCTTTAAAAATACAAATAGTAGTTCCTTTTAACTGACCAATTATATTCGCTCAGTAAATTATGAAATTTATCACACAAGCGATATCCACTGTAGAATGTATTATTGGGTGATAAATAGAAATTCCATAACACTTAAGAATGTTTTAGCTTTTATGTCAAGGTTGATTTCAATAGTGAGTAATGATGATTCAGTTTCGGTGGGTTCCTTCCAATAAGCTCCTGCTATACCTGGCACAGTTCCCATGTTTAAATCTTTCAGGGTATAATTTCTATATTGTTTATCACTTTCATTTGGTTAATCTTAAAAAAAAAATATTTTTGAGATTTTTCCATCACAATTCATTTGAAGATATCATAACTGAAATTAAAGAGTCAGCCTTTTCTTATTTGTAAAAACAAAGGAAAGAAAAGGTCCCATAATAGCACCGTGTGGCATCTTCAAGACAGTACCAATCCTAGATACTAAAATTACCTCAATAGCTGAAGATATACCAGCTATTTAAAAAAAAATACTTCAGACGCTGAACACAGTATTAATTTATGTGCCTGAATTATGTGCTGTTCCTCCTCGATAAATTCCACCTACGTCTGTAAAGTTGCCATATTTGGCTAATAAAACACCTTCGCCTGATTAATTAGTAAAGGACAGGTGCGTATAAAAAATATTTACCATAATAATGCTACTTTATGGTACCAACAATCTGATACTAACAATTATTCTGCTGGACTGGGTACATCTATTACTGTTAATTTTAAACCAAAATACTAGATTGAGCATAGAAATGACAACGGACATACCCCATGCAGTGCAGTGTGCTACAGAGGAATTTTGCCCTGACAGTGACGTAATGTAAGGACTGAATAACATTTGCTATCCAATTTTGTAGGAAATGACATGAAATGGGGTTTAATGCCCTACTGTTCTGCTCCGACTGGGCTAATGAAGGCGGGCATACGCTACACGGTGTGCTAGGGGGGAAATTTTTCCTTTTTATAATGAAGCAGCTTAATGCTACAAGCATTGGATAACAATTGCTGTCCTATTTTATTGGAAATAAAATGAAGTTTGTCCGGACAGCGGCATACTCTTATATTGAATTCCAGCTGTCAAGAGAGTTTTTACGTGCACGACAATGTGTACACTCGACTTCCGTCTTTTGTCCCATCTGAACGACTATTCATTGTCCTCCGCAAGGCCCTCTGTTCTACATCACTGACAAGGGGAAACTACGCCGGAAAATCGCGATGAACTTTCTTGGCCAACTCAGGATCGAACAAGGAACTTCCAGGTTAGCGAGCCAAGCGTCTTACCTACTTAGCCACCGTGGCTCCCTATTTTGTAAGAAATTATGACGGATATCGTTTTGGAATTCATGATATTATTTTTTAACTTCACGCAGAGAGCATATCTGCTTTAATTGTATAGGCAAGTAAAAGGTGGTGTGATATATAACTAGCCTAGTTTAGTAGCCGACTTGGTCCTAAAACCGAACCGCTTCACCTACTAGCTAGGTTGGTCCATTATCCATTAATTGTTCTCTTCGACGTGTTTGTATCCATAAGTTTCAGATAAAAGGACAGCCCACACGTGACCCGTACCAAAGATTAATCGAGTCTTTATTCGCCTCAAATATCAGTTTTATTTCTTTACTTCTATATAGCCCACACAGAGTCAACAATCTCTTTACATCGTGATCAGATGCTGCATCAGGATCAAATGTTGAAATGGCATTCTGTTGTTTACCCCACAACAAATCACACCATATATACATTGCAGCTTCTTTATTCGTTCGACCACGATCGCCGTTTTAACTTAATTTTTCTATTGTAGAAATTGGTAGTTTGCGAAACAAAGAAAATGTTATAAACTTATATCTCTGTGTAGCGTTAACAGGGTTTTCGGCAAAGGTGGGGTGGGGCTAACTCCGAAGCGAATGGCTTCAAATTTGAAAAAAAAAGAGAATATGTTACAACCTGCAGCTTCCAAAAAATGTTTCAAACTAGATTTGAAAAAGAAAATCCGTTAAAAACTGCAAACTCTATCGCGTTAACGAGCCAATTATTGACGGAAATGGGTGACGACACAATGCTTCCACATTAAAATGTTGGCGCATAAAAAATGTTTAGTTTACTATGAATATCAAAACAACCTATCTTGTTTCATTTATTTTGATATGTAATTCCAGGTATATGATTACACATATGGGATTGGGAATCTAGCAAAATAACGTCTTGAGAGAGTATCGTTTGTTTTGAGGAATCATCAGCTTCAAAACAGCATTATGTTTTGCTTTAAAAGCTCAATACCACTCTTGTTGTAACAGAATAATATGTCCCAATCTTTATTCTGGTCAACAAATTGTACTATTTTACAGTATTCCAATTAATTGATGATACAAATTTCATCTTAACACACCTAATTTAAAAAATTGGAAAAATTCAACTAAATGATTTGAAAAGCCTAACGTAAACCTTCTCAAATGTGACTTGGATTTAAAATTATTTTCAAACCCTCTGGACAAGTAAAATAGGATGTAATAGATAATTTACACAACGGGTAGGGCACTTAAACATCTAATACTTAGAATAAGGTTAATATTTATTTACTGGTGCTGTCCAGCCAGCAAGAGTGTTATCGTCCCTTTAAAGGCATTTAACTTGAAACACATCGCAAAACGCAATGAAAACCCAATATAGCCCCTTAATGTTTATCTGAAGTCGATTATCTAGGACCTCTTCTTCACAGTGATCCTGAAATTCGATGTTTATGGACATCGGGCAAAACGATGACAAAATGCTGAAAAGATCGACTAAAAGGTTTAACTTTGGTTATATGGATAGAAATGTACAGCAAAAATAAATAGCTGTGTAGACGCATCAAGGTTAAGGTATGCCATTTTGTGGTGTTTCTTTATACCATATTTAAAACTAAACACGATCTTTGCTCTAGATGAATATATATATAGGTAAGGAAAATTATTAATATTAACCCTTGGAGAAAATAATATTTCAGGATTTCCCTTTTATAAATTCCAACGCCTTTTCAAATTCATAATAAAAATTTCCGTGGTGGAGGTCTCTATGCAAATGGATCTGTTTCAGTTTTAAGTTTTAAACTGATTTCTACAAAATGATCCGGGATGTCAACTCGACAGCCTATTGCTTAAAATGTA